CTTAAGCGACGCCATATTGGCATATAGCATAATATTGAGTTCGCGAACTTTGGCGACCTTCACGACATAAAACAAAGCCTATGATCCAGGGGCATGGATATTAATTACAGGTCACCCCACCTAAAAGCTACACTTTAGGTGTGCCATACCGATAATTCAAAGTGGGGAATAACGTTGTCTATCAGCCCCCAAAGCCTTGGCGCAGGGCCTATGATACAGGCAAAAACCCTTTCGGCTCTCGGTCTATAAATTTAAAAAGACTACCTTGTCACTTTCCCTCTGGCTTGAAGAAAAAAGTGATTTGTCTTCAAAAAAAGCATCTCCAAGGTTTATTGCTGTTACCTAAAAATTATTGGAAATTAATTATGGCAATGGTAATTTAAAATTGCTAATTTTACCGTATTTTCTGAGACGCTGGAACAGGGCAAAGTCTTCAGAACCCTGGGACAATGGTCTGTCATTTCTGTCATCGCTAATTAGGCAATTCAAACCACGTGACATTCAAGATGGCGTGGCGGCCACACATGGGCCAAAAAACACAAAAAAATATCTAGTTTCTACCCGAATTAATAGTTTAGGTACCTAGTCAACAAATATTTTATTAAATAATGAAAATCAAAGTTGTAAGCAAAACTGTATGCAAAATAATTTAAAATACGCATAAAAACATATTCAAAACAAACTTGTTTGGCCGCCACGTCACATTGAATTTTCCTTTTTGACGGATTGAATTGCCTAATAGCAAAATCGGCACTTAAAATCGTAATATTGTGTGAGTATTAGGTTTAACTCACCTGAAGACGTTAAAATAAACCAGATAAAATTCTTAAAGATTTCAAAGTAAACAGTTATAAAAAGCGTAAACACTTGAATCCAAACATCCAAACTAAAACTAGGTTTTAAACGCAGCACCGAAACACAAAGGCACAAAACACTACATGAAGAACCGATTGTGAATATAATAGAATAATAATGCAGAAAACGGCAAAAAACTGAAACAATTTCACACAAAAATCCGAATTTACAAATACAAAATTCAAAGATCCGAATCTGGATATTTTTATATGTCAAATCGAAATGTCATGTATCAATATTATTTGGTAGTTGCCAGGAAACAGCGGAAAAAAGAAGAGATCTGGGGATTTCTGGGGATTTTATTTTTTTTCGACTGGTGGAAATAACGGTCAAAATTTAAACTCTATCGTGAATATGACTATAGGTATGGAATGGACTGACCTTGGGTTTTAAGCTGGACTTTTTTACTGATTTGTTCTCAGGGCCGGGCCTACCATAAGGCGAACAGAGCGAGCGCTCCAGGCGCCAGACCTCGGGGGGCGCCTCCGATTCGTTCCTTGGTGATAAAAAAAAAGAGAAAAATATATTTTTGCTTTGAATCCTGTCTTCGCTTTTCGATATTCTGCTATCTGAGCCGCTTTCCAGTATGGGAATGTGACGCTCGGAGCTACTCGGAGCGTTGAGCTATACGTACACTTTGCCAGACATAAAAGTGGTATAGTTTATTCAGAGATCTAAGAAAAGTCGTAAAATGCAATAAATCATCTGCCTCTTTGTTGGGCCACGTGCTTACACCCCTTATATTGATAAAGGCAACAGGAAAAATAATTTATGGCAGCCCCGTTCAGGATCGCATTTGATTTTGTTTTGAATATGGCAATATTAATTCAGATTTTTTTGTTTTTTCTAATAAGGAATAGTGTTAAAACAAGTTTGCAGATTTCTAGTGACAGTAAGTTAGTAAATAATAATAACCGGCATCGGCAGGCGAAATTCCGACGGAAACGTAAGTACAGTCCGTTTCATGAGGGTTCATACTTTCGTCAATAACTAATGTCTATGGCGTCAATAATTTGTTTCACTCAGGTTTTAAGATAAGACAATTGACCACGTGGGTATGAACCCTCATGAAACGGACTGTAGACCTACTTTTCAATATTACAACGGTATTACCTACCTAAGAATAGAACAAAGGCATTAAATCTTCCATGAAATTTGGAAGGTAAACAAAATAAAATTGAATAATAATTAGCCTCTCGCACCTAATTCGTAGTAGGGTTCCCACCTTCGAGTCAAATAAGTGACTTTCTAAGTTGAAATAAATAAGCGGAACATTGGGCTAGTACAACCCACCCGTCTCCTTACCTACCTACTGCGGGTTTTCGGCTCCTTTATGGGTGTAGGTGCTTGGCCGAACAATACAGTAATGATTTATTGCATTTTACGACTTTTCTTATATCTCTGAATAAACTATACAGGCAAAATCTATACTTCAAATTTGCCTAGTGTGAATCAGGCTTAACAACAGAAATTCTCTTCTGAAAAACATAGGCTAGACAGTTTTTGTCAATGTCAAAGCTGAACAAAAGTAAATGCAAGATGTTTTTATGTTATGATTGGTTTAAATATGACATTGACTTGACACTTTTTGTCATTATTGAGGTGATAAAAAGGTCGATTTACACAATACAACACAATAGGAAAATGCGTACCAGTTTTATGTTTGGCCAAGTGTACGGACAAACGTCACACGTCATGGCGGTGTGACATGTGAAATCTAGTGCGTGGCGTTCCCGGGGTGCTCTAAGGGCCATATTCTCCGTAGTTCATGAAGCCTGGCTTGGTGGAGAAGCTCGGCTTTGTCACACAAAAAGCCAAGTGTTTCCACTAAGCCAGGCTTTATGAACTACGGAAAATATGGCCCTAAAGCGCGCCAATGTGCATACTGGAAAGCAGTTCTGCGATTCTGCTTGCGAGCAAGCGTGTAGTTAGTATGTGAATCCCACTTGAATAACCTGTTGCGACGTTGTTTTATCACGCGCAGAAGTCGTGTGCGTGCCGTCGCCCCTACATGATCAATGATCATAATCACAATATTTCGGGATTAGAAGTTTTAAGGCCCGGTTTATTGATGTCCAAGAAGAATTTGCTGTTAACTGTCTACAAGATAAATTCACCGATCTAATTCTATTGGTCGATGGATAACGTGGACCAACAGGATTGCAGATTGCGTTTTTGTTCGTCAGATTGCATTACCTGACAGTTTATAAAATAATGAATAAACCGGCCCTGAAAAAAAAAATCTGTGGTCGAAGAACCTCTCAGTATTCCAGAACTTAGCATTGAATAATTGGCAATATACGTTTCCTAATATCTAGACAGCTCTCGTCGAGCTCTCCGTATTTTTGTAGCCATTCTTGTGGCGAAAGGGTGAACGGAGCTTAAGTAAACTTACCACTCAAACTTAACATAACTTAAACGTACAGGGGTGATCTATTATAAATGTCACCCCCCTGCTAACTTTTTCATATGACGTTTTTGACAAAAGTGTCAAATACTAAAGTTTTAAGAAATTGTCAAAAGTTTTCAACTAAGTCAGTTTTAGGCATACAGGGTGCGGTGTCCCGTCAAAATATATTTTTGCAGGTATTTGACAAATATATTTGAAGAAAATGCCATAAAATAAAAACTTTGAGGACGTCTGACCCCCTTTTTGCAACGAACTAGACGTCTGACGATTTACATACGTTATCTGTGACATTCAAACAGATAATGTGCAAAATTTCTATAAATTTTGAGCTTTGAGAAAACAGTTTAGATGCTTCTTAAAATTACAACTTTGCCCGCGTCCCAGAGCCAGCTGTCCCGGAACTGTGAGTGCTGACTGTATGTACACTAGCATTCTAGCACTAAAGTACGACCTATTTTGAAAATATCCGCCTTGCGAAAACTCTTGCATGTTTTTGGCGCCACCTCCTGGACTACAACAATACATTGACATGCTTTGATTGTTGATTTGAACCAATCAGATTGTAATTACGCGATAATTTGCACTAGTGCAAATTATCAGATAATTGCATACTAACTGGTGCAAAAAATTGGTGTTTTGACATTTTTTTGACAAAAAATTTAAATTTTTGATTTATGAAATTCTCTCATTAAATACAACTCGTGCAATGGAAATATATTTATAATTTTCGACAAATTTGCACTCATGCGTTTTTAACTGAAAAAGGCACTCGTGCACTACGTGCACTCGTGCTCTTTTTCAACTAAGAATGCATTCGGGCAAATTTCCCAAAAATTATCAATAATTTCCATTGCACTAGTTATATTACTATTGATAATCTTTATGTATCTAAATAAATTATTTACAGGCTGAGTCGAGGCAGAAGATGCATTGAAAATGCATTTGGCATATTAAGTCAAAGATGGCGAATTTTATGAAAGACAATTTATGCCAGCCTAGAAATGTGTGAACTAATTACTCAGGCGACAGTTGTACTCCACAATTATTTGCAAGCCAGTGAAAAAGACTTGCCTGTTAATGACAGGAAGTACTGCCCAACAGGATTTGCAGATTTTGTGGACGCAAATGGGACCATTCAAGAGGGTTTGTGGAGAATGGAAGGATCACACTTGAAATCTGTGAATAGATTGGCTTTAAACAACTATTCACAAAATGCCAAAAACTGCAGAGACCTTTTGGCAGATTTTTTTGTGTCAAAAGAAGGTTGGGTACCTTGGAAGGAAAGCCATGTTAATAGAGGGGGGTACCCACAATCTTTCAAATGATTGTTTATTATTTATTAGTATTAATTTATTAGTATTAGTTTATAAGTATTTGTTTATTAGTATTAGTTTATTACTATAAGTTTATGAGTATTTAGTTTCTTTTTCTTTTTTGACATACTTACATATTCTGCAGAAGTTGCTGTGTTTTACCTCTACCTGAATTCCTGAGCAACTGCTTATCTTAATTTTTTTTTTGAAATGGATCACTTTATTTGGGTTAGTTTGGGCGTTTGGGGAATGCAAACTGAAAATTGTGCTTTATAAGCATTTGATAAAGAATAAAATCACTTATTGGAAATTTTACATTTTTGATTTTTCTGACAAATTCAGCTAAAACTTTTGTATCCACACTTTTCTTTGTGATGGTAAAGGGTAATAATTGAATTAATAAATCAACACAGTTTATAATTTAATTTTTAAGAACAATAGGATTTATTAAATTATAAGATACATTATCTAATTATTCATGTCTTTCATTTCCTCTGCTAGCAGCAACAACATTTTTGATTTGATTACAAGTTTATTGCTGTTTGTGATTTTTGACAAATGTTCTGCTAGAGACATGCAAAAATAACGATCCTCATCCTTAATTGTCTACACACTTTCTTCGGTGGATTGCCTCATAAATTGATTTAAAGTTTGCCCTACATCAGAGCAACTCTTCACCATATTCTCAATCACTGAGGCTACCTGTGTAACCTTTCGCTTTTTTATTGATGGTGTCTCGGACGGTGCTTCTGACTCTTGTCGTCTTCTTCTCATAGAGATTTCCGGCTCTGGATGTCTACTGGTGCTCGGGATGGGATTCTCGAATGGTGCTTCTAATTGTTGTTGTTTTCTTCCCATTGGAATTTCCGATTCTTGCTGCCTACTGGTGCTTGGGACGGGATATATAACTCTTAAACCTGAAGCTGATGAGCCTGATGAAACGTCCGTCTCCCCATGGGTCTCCACCTCCTCAAAGCTCAATTGGGAAGTTGGTTTCAAAGTTTCGTCCAGGTCCATTCCAGACTGGGTGTTCTCACACTGGCTAAATACTTCAGATTCAGTGAAGCCTTCTTCTAGTTCTTGGATATTGAAACTCCATGCTGGTGAAGGCTTCGGCGTTGATGTCGTTTTTTTCAAAACATTGCCACTTGTTCTGAAAGGAAAATTGTTTTATAAAAAACCAAATCAGCAAATAATAGTTAAAGAGATTGTATATTTTCAAGAACAATAGCAACATACATAATTTCTTTTAGCCTCGCTTTTAGCAGAACCAAAAATAGTTTGCCAAATATTATTATACACCTGGGTACTGGGTACATGAGTTTTCCCCATAATTACCTATCAGCTCAAAATCTCAATAGATTACAAGTCTACAAGTCAGTATTAAAATTTATGCAAATGTGATTCCTTTACCCAGAAGGATTAGGTTTAGGACAATATAAACTTACAAACGAAATAAATATGTAAAGAAAGCAATTTAAAAAGGTTTACAACTTTGATGAAAAGGTAGGTATTCAAACTATTGTATAGAATATCAAGAGCATAGTTAAATTTTGAAAAAATACTGACTCGGGCAGTGATAGAAGGTTTTAAATGCTAAAATAGGTTTTTTCGAGAAAGCAATCCGAAAAGTCAAACCAAAAATTTTGTAAAAAACTTACCTTCTGGTTTGAATAGTAGGCGCCAGAAAACCCATTGCTTTGAACAATGGCCAATTGCCAGAATATGCTGCAGAGCCTGACGGCATTGTTATCATGAGTCTTCGTTCGCGAATGTATTTTGACCTCAGGCTTTTCGACAATTCTTTGCAGGCTCCCACTGAAAAAAAATGCATAAATGTAGGCTTTGCCTCCAGGATATCAATAGATATGGTGTAGACCAGCAACACGTGAAAAGGTAGTTGACAGCAGTTGTCCCAGAGACAGATAATTTTTTAAAGTTTGTCAAGTTTCTACAATTTTTTACAATTAAAAGTGGATATTACAGATTACTGAGTGAACTTTCATTTAAAATTTTTGATAAACTCGCTAAGGCCTCCTACAAACTTCAGAAGTGGGATAATGGATGGATAATTGTGGGAATAACAAGGGCAAAGAAGTCGATTTGTGCTAGTGCAAAATTATGGTTTGCATCTTGATGGCTTAGTGGGACAAAGAAGCCGATTTGTGCCAGTGCAAAATTATGGTTTGCATATTTATGCCAGTGCAAAATTATGGTTTGCATCTTCATGGCTTAATGGGACAAAGAAGCCGATTTGTGCCAGTGCAAAATTATGGTTTGCATATTTATGCCAGTGCAAAATTATGGTTTGCATCTTCATGGCTTAATGGGACAAAGAAGCCGATTTGTGCCAGTGCAAAATTATGGTTTGCATATTTATGCCAGTGCAAAATTATGGTTTGCATCTTCATGGCTTAATGGGACAAAGAAGCCGATTTGTGCCAGTGCAAAATTATGGTTTGCATATTTATGCCAGTGCAAAATTATGGTTTGCATATTTATGCCAGTGCAAAATTATGGTTTGCATCTTCATGGCTTAGTGGGACAAAGAAGCCGATTTGTGCCAATGCAAAATTATGGTTTGCATATTTACTGTGCCAGTGCAAAATTATGGTTTGCATCTTCATGGCTACCGCCTAAATTTATGAAACAAAATGAACGACGACTGCAGAAACGTGCGGAACGAAGAAATCGTTTCTGATAAACGTGTTCATCTTTGTGATACTTGAATTTAAATATGATACCTTATGTTCTTATGATACCTTATGTCCTTATCATACCTTATGTACTTATGATACCTTATGTCCTTATCATACCTTATGTACTTATCATACCTTATGTACTTACGCTACTTTATCACGTCCTTATGATACCTTATGTCATTATGCAAGCATGTCTATCTTATGAATAATTTATGTTAGGTTTTATGTTTTATAGGCGAGGTCGCCTATATTTGTCAGGAAAGCCGAGTTGTAGGCTTTGCCTCCAGGATATCAATAGATATGGTGTAGACCAGCAACACGTGAAAAGGTAGTTGACATCAGTTGTCCCAGAGACAGATAATTTTTATAATTTTGTCAATTTTATAAATTTTTTTACAATTAAAAGTGAATACTACTGAGTGAACTTTCATTTAAAATATTTGATAAACTCGCTAAGGCCTCCTACATAAATGAGTACCTATGTATTTTGCGAGACATTCTGGATAGGTGATATCACAATTCATATAAAATATCTTTTAGCTCACAACAGATATAAGTAGCTTATTTTCCAGGAAAAAAATTTAATTGTCAAAATGATGATTATTATCGTTATTATCTAATAGAACTGAATAATTAATAATATCTTCCAAACCATATGTATTAATTTTATTAGATAAAACTTCTGGATTTTTTAACGCAAAGAAATTGGAAAACCAAATCATTAAGCATTTTGGCAAAAAGTACCTATACTTTGTAACATTTTAATTTTGCTCTTCCCATTAAATGAGTAATTCAGCGTTTTAACTGGTGACACACAAATATTATTTTAGAGCTGACTTAATTGATTGGATATTAATTACCTTACTCTGTATCTTTTTAGGTAATTTCAGGCACAGCAAGCCAAGATTTTGCTCCTTATCATTTGTCTAATGATTTAGTTGATCATTGCAGATGAATATTAATTGAACAATGCCTGGCTATCTTATTCTTGTTGTCCTTAAAAGGAATTTAGGTAAATTATCAATTTTATTAGTCGATAGCCAACATTGTTTTGATTTTCAAACAAAAAAAAAAAAGGTTATGTCCAGTTAATTGTCATTCAATTTTATTTTCGCGCCAGTTCATTCCGAAGGATTAATTCCTTTAGTTTTCACTCCCTCTCTGTCTCTCTCTTATTGGAGGATTTCATTTCTTTTATCTACCTGTTATCGAGTACCTATATCGATCAATTTGCTGGTATAGTCATATTCACGATAGAGTTTAAATTTTGACCGTCATTTCCACCAGACGAAAAAAAATAAAATCCCCAGATCTCTTCTTTTTTCCGCTGTTTCCTGGCAACTACCAAATATTGATACATGACATTTCGATTTGACATATAAAAATATCCAGATTCGGATCTTTGAATTTTGTATTTGTAAATTCGGATTTTTGTGTGAAATTGTTTCAGTTTTTTGCCGTTTTCTGCATTATTATTCTATTATATTCACAATCGGTTCTTCATGTAGTGTTTTGTGCCTTTGTGTTTCGGTGCTGCGTTTAAAACCTAGTTTTAGTTTGGATGTTTGGATTCAAGTGTTTAGGCTTTTTATAACTGTTTACTTTGAAATCTTTAAGACTTTTATCTGGTTTATTTTAACGTCTTCAGGTGAGTTAATACTTACACAATATTACGATTTTAAGTGCCGATTTTGCTATTAGCGATGACAGAAATGACAGACCATTGTACCAGGGTTCTGGAGACTTTGCCCTGTTCCAGCGTCTCAGAAAATACGGTAAAATTAGCAATTTTAAATTACCATTGCCATAATTAATTTCCAATAATTTTTAGGTGACAGCAATAAACCTTGGAGATGCTTTTTTTGAAGACAAATCACTTTTTTCTTCAAGCCAGAGGGAAAGTGACAAGGTAGTCTTTTTAAATTTATAGACCGAGAGCCGAAAGGGTTTTTGCCTGTATCATAGGCCCTGCGCCAAGGCTTTGGGGGCTGATAGACAACGTTATTCCCCACTTTGAATTATCGGTATGGCACCCCTAAAGTGTAGTTTTTAGGTGGGGTGACCTGTAATTAATATCCATGCCCCTGGATCATAGGCCTTGTTTTATGTCGTGACGGTCGCCAAAGTTCGCGAACTTAATATTATGCTATATGCCAATATGGCGTCGCTTAAGGTCCGCCATACTTACCGAAATGTGCAATTTTTCCACCGTGGATAAAGATCATGGGCCCAACGATGTTGTTTTGTGATCCTTGTTAACAATTAACTGCAGAACAAATATTTCAAAACGCCATACCCTTGGGGCGTCACCAAGTGGCCGCCATATTAGGGCAAACATGTCATTTTTAGCAATGAGCATGTATATGGCGGCCACTTGGTGACGCCCCAGGAGTATGGCATTTTGAAATATTTGTTCTGCAGTTAATTGTTAACAAAGATCACAAAAGAACAGCGTGGGGCCCATGATCCATATCCATGGTGGAATAATTGCACGTTTCGGTAAGTATGGCGGGCCTTAAGTGACGCCATATTGGTATGGCATATTGAGTTCGCGGACTTTGGCGACCTCCTTGATGACATAAAACAAGAATCAAATTGGGGCCCATAATATAGGGGCATGTATATCAATTACACGTTTGAAAATTCACCCCTCCTAAAAGCTACACTTTAGGAGTGCTATACCGGGAAGCATTTTTGTATCGAGCGCCCAGTATACCGCATTCGGGTAACGTCGTATTAACCGAGGCCTGTCTCATAACGAGCGTCTGATTTCCCGATCGATTGTCAAGCTACCGTACGCTTGATACTAGTCTTCTGCTAAATTATGGATCGGCGTCCAACAATTCAGTTTTTTTTTTTTTAATTGTTCATCATTTATTATGCACTGGCCAGAAAATTATATGTAAAGTCCATTCCAAAATAATTCGTTGACTCTTCAAGTATCAATAAAATGTTGATGATACCCTCAACCACAAACTTCGACTACCTGTGAGCAGGTCCGGGTTGATTTTATTTATTATACCTGCCTAGGTGAGATGTACATGTAAATGTGGGTGAATGTTTTAGTTAAATTATTTAGTCTTTGTGCAGAACTAGAGCTGTTATATTGACAAAAAAAAATGTGGCGTCCATGGGCAAATGATGGTAGTATTGCAACCGGAAGTGGTATTTCAAAAAAAAAACATTTATCGCTAGATGCCAAGGAAATTGTGAGGAACGTTTATTTAACCCTTCTGCAGAGAGGCTATAATCATAATCAAAGTGTGAGTGAATCATCCGTTTTAACCAAAACTCCATTATCTACGGTTAAAGATATCGTAGCCAAACGCATCCAGCCAAGGAAGCAACGGTGTGACAGCGGCAAGTCAAGAAAGGTTGAAGAAGCGGATAAAGAGTTGATTCGTAGGAAAATTTATGATTTGTACAGTAAACAAATAATACCTACAATAGATTCTCTAAAAAAGGTACTTATAGAAGACGAAACTGATATATTATGTAGCAGAACAAGCCTTTGGAGAATTGTGAAAGCAATGGGTTTCAAATATCAAACCATTAATAAGAGGCAAGTGCTAATGGAATCCCAGCGATTACAAGCATGGCGTCGAGAATATTTAAGTTCCATAAAACAATATAGGGCAGAAAATCGTCCGATAATATATCTTGACGAAACATGGTTTGATACCCATGACACTCCCAAAAGAGGATGGAGCGACTCAACCTCCAAATGTCAAACCAAAGCACCCTCAAATAAAGGCCAGAGGATTACAATTTTGCATGCCGGATCAGAAAATGGTTTTGTTCCAAACTCTTTGCTGCTATCCGCAAAAAAAAATAGCCAATTCATCATTAGATTATCATCAAGATACCGATGCAAAATTATTTGAAGAATGGTTTCAGAATCGCCTTCTTCCGAACATACCAGAAAACAGTATAATTGTGATGGACAACGCTAGTTACCACAGCCGTCAAAAAAATAAAGTGCCCAATGCAAGTAATACAAAAGTAGAACTTCAAAAATATATGATGGAAAATGATATGTATTTCGAAGAAAATTATACAAAGAAAGATCTTTTAAACGTTTTGAAATCATATAATGTTAAAAAAGAATATATTTGT